AAGGCATTCCTCTTGCAGAACTTAGACACCAACTCCTCTGTTTTTGAAGTGAAGCACATACATAGGTACGTATCAGCGTCAGACACTATTATTCCCACACCACTCTACTGAAGAGAGGGAGCGAGCTGACAAGAGATCTGTAAAGTCATACGGCCACATGTCAGCAACATAACCTCAATCAGAGCTTTTACGTTTTGTTTTTAAAACAACCAAAGCGACTGCCTTTAGAGTGCAGACACTTATGGAAGTAGAGTAGCAATATGGATAAACTATTCTGCTATTTTTACCCTAACGGATTAATTCACCACCACTATTTGCTTGCACAGGGTGTCCCCAAGAAGAAGTTCCTGCACATTTAGTCTCCTGGGAATCTAAACCTCACATACCAGACAAGGCAACGTAATAAGTGGGAATAGCATTACATTTTACCAGCTAGGCATTTTTAACATCTAGCCATCATTTGCAGCTAACACCTGCATTTCCAGTCTAATCTGTTTAGCTTATTTGACTCGAACTGTCATATTCCCAGATGCCCAGGGTCACTTCCCTTGCCTCCTTTTTCTTAACTACAATCAGCTCCAAGCTTGAGTAAAAAAGCAACCGCACCTGCACCGTACTCACAACCAATTTCAGTCCAACACAGTCTGCTCCACCTGTCTCTCCTCGAATTCCTAACTGTCCTAAAGCCTGCAAAGATGATTGTGTTCAGACTGGGACATCCTAACCCACGGCTCACACTTAGGACTTGACAAATTCACCATCAAGAAGCAGAGAAGAACATACTGGCAACAGATGCTGACTACAACAACGCTTAAAATGGCTCAAAGTTAAACGACATTTCTAATGGAATACTAATTGTTACAAGTTACTCTTTTCATTCTTTCATTCCTATTAACTCACTAGAAGTGAAACAGCAGTCAGGAGACATGAAAGATAGGGCAGGAAAAGCACAATGTGTGCCTTGCAAAACTACGGATCTGGGTGATTCAGTGCTTAAAGGGAAAAAAGTTCGGACAACACAGAAGCACAGAACTGCTGGGGGTGGAAGGGACCGCTTCAGAATATCTAGTCCAAGTTCCTGCTCAAGCCAGTCTAGCTGAAGCAGGTGCCTTGCAAAACTACGGATCTGGGTGATTCAGTGCTTAAAGGGAAAAAAGTTCGGACAACACAGAAGCACAGAACTGCTGGGGGTGGAAGGGACCGCTTCAGAATATCTAGTCCAAGTTCCTGCTCAAGCCAGTCTAGCTGAAGCAGGCTGTCCGGGACTGTGTCCAGATGAGTTTTGGGTACCTCCATGCATGGAGATTCCACCCACCGCTTTTCTAGGCAACCTGTGCTGATGTCTGACCACTGTCAGAGTAAGAAAGCAGTATTTTGTTGTGTTCATATGCAATTTCATGCTCCTTCATGTCTGGAATGGTTGTTACTGAACCCAGCTGTGAATGACAGACAGGCAGTCTTTACAAATATTAGCAGCTGACCCGAACTGTGGCTCACTGAGGTCTCGTTTCATGTAGTGGTGCTTACACCTCTGATCTGCAGGCAGAATATGGTATATGGCAGTGTATGGTACTCGTTTCATGCAGTGGTGCTTGCATCTCTGCTCTGCAGGCAGAATATAGTATATGACAGTGTATGGTATATGACACCTCCTGAAGGTGCAAAAGAGACAAGTCAGGGATGGTCTTAGTGTTTAATCTTCAATCCTACTAATTTCATGTGAAACTTCAGCAAGTCCATGGGCTCGAAGAAGCAGCTGCAACAGTAACCTCAGCTCATCCAATAAACTGTCCCCTGTGCCCATGACACCAAAAGCAAGAAAGCAAAGGCTAGAACTTGTGCCAGAAATGCTGAACGCAGTCGGCTGATCAGGTGCCTTTCACAGATTGTGATTCTCACAGACATTTAAATACAAGTACATCTCTGTGCTACTTTGAACATGCAAGTCTGTTCAAAGTTAGTGACATAACTCTTGCCCAAGACTCCCTGCTTTATCCACATGTGTTTGGAAGTTTGTCAGTACTTTGCAGCTTCCAGATCCATATTTTGAATCCTTGTGCTAAGCATTCTAATGGAAGTCGAAAAATGAGATGAGAAAGACTGTCAAAGAAAGCAAAAGAGTTCCCACTATTCTCAACAAGATGTGGACATGAGCTGCAGGAATTCAGGATGGATCTTTGCAGGAGTGCACCAAGAACATGAATATGTGGAAGTGTTTATGCACCTGTTTATTCATTACAGAAACTGTAGGATTCAGCACAGCATCTTTAAAAACTAGGAGTAGTGTTAATAAAGCTTGTTGTGTCATTTTGTGAGGGCATTTTCTGTAACACATTTTCTATTGCTTTTAATATTGCATAAATGAATCACATCCAAAAGGAGGAACAACTTCTAAAATCCTGAAATTAAAAGGCTTGTAACTTTCTCCTAGAGTGGATGTTATGTATCTTCCTTAATGTTCCCCTCCTCTCCATCCTTTCCTGGAAAAGCAGGCACCGATTTTAAGTCAAATTCACCTATAACACTGCTGTGATTCGGATGCAATGCACAATAAAAACCGTTACCGACTATCCCAAATGAATAATTTCTTCATGATTATAAATCTTTCAGAGGTTTAGCAAGATGCAGCGATAATGCATTCCATGATTAAGTATGGTTCACTATGCAAACAACATAAATTATGAATGATATCCAAATCTAGTCTGTTAATCCTTCAAGAGGTGAAGATGACTTAGATCCATATAACAATGCTTTAGGCTGTTGGAGAAAAAAAAACTACGTTGTATTTATTTAATATTTTGAAGAATAGAAAAGAAAGATGAAGTGATGTTGCTAGAGTAGCAGAAAAGCATTGGAGCTTGGGAACAGCCTAAAAACATCCCAGGGTTCATTCTCAGTGCTATCCCACTCTGACATTTCCTGAGTTATCTAAATATCTGTGTGAGTGTTACTTCTGAGATTCAGCATGTTCCAAGAAAACAGTCCTGGAAACAGATAAATTTTCGACAAAATAACAGGCATTTTGAAGGTGCACACTGATTGATGTACCTGCCTACAAAAATGTAGTGCAGGACAGAGTCTACAAAAGAGAGTGATAGGCTGGATTTTTGTCTCTCATGTCTGCTCCTGCTACGTAGTCATTATCACAAGACGTTTCAGATAAATATGAACAGAGATTATCTCCGTAAATCAGTAAGGGCTTTTGGTAGGGAGAAACATACTATGCACAACTCCTTTTGCGCTGTAGTTTGAGGTATCCAGCTGTATGCAGAACTAGGTTACGTACAACAAGGACACATTGCTGTTAGTCTCCTCCCATGTCCCACTTCCCTTCTACTGCTCCCCCGCTACTCCCTGCGTGTTTTGCTACATGACCATACCTCCTCTTTGCACAAGGACTAGATCTTCCCGACTGAGTCACCAGAATTTCACAGGCAAGTAAGTCATGGGGAAGGGACTGGATCCACCTGAAGCCAAGAGACAGCGATGGGAGAGAATTACATTAACCACTTGTGGCCAACAGTGAGCAAAATGAACCCCAGCTGTCCCCTGACATGCTCACCATTTCAGGAATGTCCCTTGCCTGTGTCAGCTCTCACACTGAATACGATGTGGTTTTTGACAACTTTCCACTAAAAAGGTGTGAGATATTTGGCAGGAAGAACTTAGAAGTATTCTGTAAATCAGAGCCAGTTCCTGCTCTGAGAGTTTTGATGGGTCTCAGGAGTGACATGCTTGAACTCTACAGACAAGTTTTCCAACCTCAGACATCACTCAATACAGAGGCAGTGACTGAATGGCCCACCTACATGAATACCTACATACCTAAGCCAAACAAACTGAGTCCGTTCAAGGACTTGAAATAATACCATCAACTAAAATGAAGATAACTTCTGACTATTACTGCAAAAGGCTAATAACTTGGTATTATAGGTCAATTTATATGTGACAATCAAAAATAATGAAGTAATTTATTGAAACAACTGCATAACTGTCTTCCATGTGTATAGGACTCTTCGGTAAAAAAAACTGTGCTAAGTCAGACTTAATCATTCCTTTCAACGACCAAGCCAGTGAAGAGTTTTTGCAACAGGTTCTCTACTGTTTCTGGATGAAACATGGTGCTGGTAAATCTGAGCTGGCTCCTCATGAAAGGATCTAAATTGCTTCCAGAGGTAAAATGACTGTGGAAACAGTACAGCCAGGAGCTATCTGAGCTCATAAACCATGTCAGTTCTTCAGCTGGCTCTGTACAGGTGCAAAATCTGCTCTGTCCCCACTATTAATTATATAACAGCACAAATACCGTGACCATTCGTAATCAAGGGCTGCCTGTACATGAATCACAAAAACATTTTATATCCACTCCTTAAAATTACACCAGCGAATGACATACCAGGATATTTAGTCTTGGATGTACGACAAGCAGGTGCTGATTTAGTTCGTGGTCCGAGGTGGTCCATCAGCCTGAGGCAACGGGAGACATGCTCTTGATTCACCCAGTGCAGTATGGATCTACATCTGCCTAACTCCCATACGTAGACTGCCCGTTATCTTGCCTTGGGTTGACATGTTGCATACCCAGAGCTATCACAGCCTGGCAGTGTAAACTTTAGGCAGGATCCAACAATAAATCTAACAACATCAGAAGACTGTAATTCTTTGCTTTCATAGTAAAAGTCATTTATCTTTGGCCAGTGAAATATGTGTGGAATTACTATGAAATAGGATAAAATCCATTTCAGTTGTTATTTGGCATCATGCTTGTACCTCATAAAAGAAAGCGAAGACGTCAGTTAATTATATTCCCATGAAGAAGCGATTACCGATAGTGTTTTCAAATCTTGCAGGTGGCTCCACAGAAAGAACCCAACTATTCTTTTTATTTACTATCAGCATTAGTGGCATCACAGGCAGCACAATATAATATATGTAGACACCTGTAGATGTACTAGTCAACTAGAAGGTGTAATTAAAGAAATGAACTACACTATACTCACCGGGCTTTACAAGGCATGTCTTTGTCTCCTTCTTATATCGAGCCAGCTGCGGGTTCCCTTCATTCATTGTCCCTGGACTGAATTTCTTCCTGGAGAAGTGTCCATCGCTACCAGTGCAAAAACTGATTGGACTGTTTCCAGCATCAGAAGGAGACTTAACTGGAGATACTGACTGGCTACTAGGAAAGCCAGTGTCATCTGAAGAGAAAAGGGAAAACATCAACATTTCTAACTAGTAAGTACACAAACGTTAGGAGAATAATTAAAAAAAAAAAAAGTGTTTGGACTACAACTGTTTACAGTCAGTTATCTGACAGGCACAACCCTGGCTCTGAAACGTGGGGAGAAGCTATTAGTTTCTCCCATTCTGTGAAGAAGTCTTGAATACCTTATGGCAGATTAAAATGGCAAACGCTTGTTTCACTGAGTTTGACAAAACACAAAATCAGGGGCTACATAACAAAAATTCAGATCTAAGATAAATTGTTTTGACTTAGCCCGGTTAGGAAATATCACAGCATGAAGCAATGCACATAAGACACAGGAATGGCTTGTGTGGTGCATACTGGATGGAGAGCAAGCATGGGCCACATACTCTCTTTCAAGATATATTCCTATAAGAACGAGAACGGCCCACAGCCCATATTCACAAAGTCAGGGTTTTCATTTAACTGCAATAAATAAAAGTTTCTCAAAATTGTTTTTCCTTTCAAAGCAACCGTGATCATAGAGCTCTTCCATTCCTGACAAGTGGCTGTGAGGTACTTCGTTCTGAAGAGGGTGTGTTATACACAGACCGCCTTTGTTTAAAGCCGAATTCCTCCGAGGGAACACCAGTGCTTCATGGCATTAGCAGTCACCTCGGGAACAGACCCACGTTCCTGACCTCCAGGAATACAAACACTACAGCTCTTAACAATTAAATGCAAAGCAAGAAGCCTGAGTCCAGGTAAAATCCACACATCAAACACCCCCTTCATCTAATCATGTCTCCTGTAATGTTGAGTAATCACAGCTCCCCTAAAAGTCATGGTGGTTTTAGAGATACACAACAAAAACAAACAGGCTACTCTGACACTGGGAAGCCTTGAATGTTTACTCTCCTGGAGAAATGTAGTTGTTTGTTCTTTCCCAGGACAAAATGAAAGCTGCCATCTTAATTATGCAATTGCACTCTGCTCCCAGTGCATTATCTTTACCTAATATGAAACTCAAAGAAGTACCTGCAACTGAGCCAAATAATTTGCATAACCATTACTACTTCCACCCTGTTCATTATTCAAGTCAAGCCCAATCTTGCACTGAGCTTTGCATGGGCAGATTGTTTAAAAAGCATATGATTGTGCATTTATGAGGTAAAAGGGACTCCTGGAACTCTCTAACACCCTCCCTGCCCACCTCCCCTCTGCAGGAAAGCGCAGATTTTGCTGTTTCTAACTATTGCTTCCTCAGTACAGTAAAACAACCTCATTCTTCTGTGTGAACCGGTTTTCCTTTATGCCTGGCCAGTCATTCTAACCTCACCTATTCATTCCAATGTTCTGCATCTCATTTCTCTGCGTCCTGCTCCCAGTGATGATGAGCAAGGTACCTATGGGTGCCGACCGTCCAACGCATGCCATACGCATTAGCATGTAACAACAGGCAGCAGTCTGAGGTGTTGCTGCCCCGGTCTCTGCAAAGTGCCGGACATGATGCCAAGGCACGGGGCAGCCCAGCCTACTGCCAGAATTCCCTCCCAAGGCACAATGGGGAGTAATGGCACAAAGCACCTAATCCAGCTGAATCATATCTCATTCCTTTAAACCAGATCAATTAAGCCTACAAGCATCTCCTTTTGCTATCTTGTTGCTGCCTTTCGCAACTCAGTCTATTGCAACTCACCCATTTTTCTAGTTCCGAGCAAAATAACAGGAAAGAGAAGACTGCCAATAAGGTTTCCAGCCCATCCTCACATTCATCCTGACTAAAGCAGGATTTTCCCCTCCACACTGCCCTAGTGAGGCCTCATCTGGAGGATGGAGTCTGGACTCTCTGTCCAGTTCTAGGCTCCCCAGTTCAAGAAAGATGAAGAGCTAATGGAGAGAGTCCAGCGGAGGGCTACAAGGATGGTGAGGGGACTGGAACATCTCTGCTACGAGGAGAGGCTGAGGGAGCTGGGCTTGTTCAGCCTGAAGAAGGCTGAGAGGGGACCTAATATATACTTGCAAATATCTGAAGGGTGGGTGTCAGGAGGATTGGGCCAAGCTCTTTTCCGTAGTGCCCAGCGACAGGACAAGGGGCAATGGGCACAAACTGAAGCATAGTAAGTTCTGTCTGAACATGAGGAAGAACTTCTTCCCTCTGAGGGTGACGGAGCCCTGGAACAGGCTGCCCAGGGAGGTTGTGGAGTCTCCTTCTCTGGAGATATTCAAGACCCGCCTGGACAAGGTCCTGTGCAGCCTGCTCTAGGTGACCCCGCTTCGGCAGGAGGTTGGACTAGATGACCCACAGAGGTCCCTTCCAACCCCTACCATTCTGTGATTCTGTGTGAATCTGTGATTCTGTTGCCCACATGATTTTAGTTTACTTTTTATCCTTTCCATTGCCATCAACATCACAATATAACTCAACATGGAGAATAAAGGTAGCAATTTCCTCCCAGATCAGCATTCATTTCCTTCTACCAGGGGTTCAGAGTCCCTTCTGCAGGCTGAAGGAATGCTGCCTACAGGGATCAGTGGATCACTGGCTCCATGGATGAGCTTCTGAACTGCATTTAAGCAGCTCCTTTAGCTATGTCCAAAGCATCTTCTCTTTAGTAGCACACAAATATTCATATTCAAATACATTCAGAAAAATTGCAGGTTCATGGAGTTTATTTTTAATGATGACCTTTCCACTTAGATGTTTCTCTGTGTGGCATTATTTTGAAAACTTTGTGTTTTTTAAAATAAGACGAGAAAATAATTACTTTGTCTCTCCACCAATAAAATCATTGCAATACCTGGACAGGTTCTGCAGACCTCACAGATGTGTTTTATCTGGGAGACTTCATGTAAAAATGACTCCCAAAGGTATCAAGATGCTACATGGAAGAACCTTAGCAGCTGATAAAACCTTTAAAAAATGAAAGAAATAAACTACAGCATGAAGAATGAGGGCATTAAAAAACCTGAATATGTAAAATTAACTGTGATAAGGAAATAGGGTAGCTAAAGAAAGCATACAAAAATAGCAAAAAAACCCCACTGATTACCACCACACCGCATACCCCCATTGCCTCTGATATCACACTGGTGGATTATGTCATATCCACATATTCTCATTTTACTCTTAAGGACTTCAGCTTTTGTTGCAACGGGGCGTTCATTAAAGGAACAAATGAGCCTGGCACAAAGAACAAGAGCTCTTCTCTACTCTTGCCCCTTGTGACCTTTATACCCACCAATAACCAGGTGAGCATTCATCCAGTTGAAGTAAATGGATGACTTTATTGTACTCCCTCTCCTCTGATCGTTTGTTATTTTTTATGATGTAATGTATAACTTCTTCTACTTAGTATTAGGCAGAAATGTGAACAGAATTATAAATTTTCCAAATCTAGGGCAAGCTGCAGAGAAACATTTTCCTGTGTCAGCTTTTTGTGGTGCTGTTTGAATAATCAGAATCTTTATTATCACAGAAGGGAACAGCTGCATACGAAACACCAGTGCTCACCACCAAAGGCACGCAAACCTCTGCTGTGTGCTGCAGGGATCCACCTCCCACCCGACCTGCAGCTCACCGTTCTGGCACAAGGAAAAGTCCTGGTGAAGACTGAGGTGCAACTGCTCGGTGCGAGCCAAATTGCCTGCACTTATCTTTGTTCTTCCCTGCTACCGAAGTCTTAAAAGGCTATTTAATTGTATTTAATATTCCCCACGGAAGAGCAGCAGGCTTCCCAGAGGACCCTGACCACACATCAAACGGATGCCCCCTCCATCCCGCAGAGAGCCTGACCGCCCGCCCTGCTCATGGCTGCAGCGAACACCTCCGCCCCTCGTCTGCCGGACGAAGGATGCACCCATGGCACTGTGGCTTCAGAGCTTCCTCCAGACCCGTAGGCTCCTCCAAAACCGCACTGACAACTCTGACAGAAGGAGGTGAAGACCTCCACCTGCAAAGAAATGGGCCAAGATAAGGAATCTCTCTCCAAACTTGGCAAGGGGGTTACAGCAGCAGACAAGCCCACAATGGGATTCACTTTCTGCTGAAGACATGATGTGAATGTAGTTTTCAGCAAGGTCAGTTAAGGATCCAGTCCTGTAACTTGGCAGGAGTTTTGTCCCAGTAAGGATTTCAGGTCCAGACTTCTCAGGAACACAGATAGACCTGCTATACCTTCTCAGGAACGTTAGCTTCAGGAAGACAGGAGGGAGAAAGCTGGCAAATACTGCTGTGAAAGTCCATACTTCTGGTCTTGCCTGTATTATTTACTTGCACAAGAGGGAAAACCACATAAATTTATAACACACAACTTTCATTGATTTCTTAGCAATATTCACGGTGTCTTTTTTCACAGTGGCCTCCTCCTATGAGCGTTCTGGGAGTAGACTTTCCCTTTGAACATCAGCTGGATTTCATCACTGAAACTCTGTTCAACCCTTCTCCCACATCAGACAGCTTGCCAAGTTTCCAAGCCAAGCACGGGATAATGTCTCCTCAAACAAACAATCAGGGAAGTTGCTCAGAGCACTCTGACATTTGCATGCACTGACTAGCTTTCAGATAGTAAAGTCAAAGTATAAACAGCAGTGTTAAATGTAATAATACTCTAACAACTGACAAAAATATTGTTCTCGTAGACCTTAAGGCCATACGTTGAGGCGTGGCGATTTCCTCTTATTTTCTGGGCACAGAGGCTTTAGAAATTTCACTGGAGTATGCTTTAGAGCATTTTTTAGGAAAATCCTGCCTTTTCCTGAAGACTTCACAAAATACTGAACTTACAATCTTCTTAAATAATGCATCCAAATAATTAATGATGCTCTTGCTGAGGAACCACTGACTCATCTTTACCCTCACTCCTAGCTGCCAGATCTAGTTATGCACTTCTATGAGTCTGAACTGTCCATCCCCTACCCGACCCCTTGCCTACTGTCCCACTTCCACCTTCTCCTAACATCTCTTGACCAATGTTCAGGCTGTACATACTCTGCTTTTCCACTATGAAATGG